GTAAAATAATTCAAAGAAGAATTAAAGAATTGTAGCTGATGCATAAAATAAGATTTTAATTGTCTTGGAACCAATGGTGGATGCTATTAAAAGAGAAATTTTTATAAAGAAATTGGGATTTGAAAGAGTTGTCTCTAATAGCTCTAATAAAATATGGCTTTTCTAGGCTTATGATGTAACCTATGAGCTTTTATTAAATCATTTTCAATGCTTGCATGTCCAGTTTTCTTTGCTATGACTGGCATTACCCTTCTTAGCTTCTTTTGTTTATGCTAAATGCACCAGGTTAGAGAGAAATATGCTTTAAGATTGATTGAGAAGATTGTCTAAAGATATCAATGATCCTCGGCTAGTGGGAGAAGATTTCAATGTTATTTTGGAAAGGGAAGAACTGCTTTATGGGGCACCTCCGCATGATGGATCTATGAAAGACTTTGCTACAACATTATTAGACTATGGTTTAATGGATGGTGGGTTTGAGGGCAACCCTTTTACATGGACTAATACCCATATATTCCAAAGGTTGGATAGAGGTATATAACCATCAATGGGCAGTAGTTTTTTCCATCTCAAGAGTGTAACATCTCAATACGGACGAGTTGGATCATTGTCCGTTGCTAATTTCATGTTCTACATCATCTCAGCAAGGTCCTTCATCCTTTAGGTTCCTGCATGCTTGGGTCCAAGATCATGCATTTTTAAAATATGTGGAAACAAACTAGAAGCTTCCTATATAGGGCACGAGGCTTGAAGGCTTTTTAGGGTAAATAATTGAGGTTGAAATAAAATCATAAATGGTGGAATAAGACAGTATTTGATGACATTTTCAGCAACTTAAAAGAGGCGAAAAAGCAAGCTAAAACTAGCGAGCTTTTATTTTAGCAATGGCAATCTACGGAGAATAGGGAGATTTTGAATCATTCTTATGCAAAACTGAACTATTGTCAAAACGTGGAGGAAGCTTTCTGGCAATAAAAATTTGGTATTAAATGGCTAGTTAAAAGGGAGAGAAATACCAAATTTTTCCACATGAGAATGCAGAAAAAGAAGGGCAGAACTTCATTTTCAAAATAAAAAATCAAGATGGTTCTTGGTTTGAAGATCTGGATTTAACACAAGCCTCAGCAGTTGATTACTTTTCTTCCTTTATGAAGTTGGAAGCATGTGATATGACCAGGTTAGATGATTCTCTCATTCCTGCTATTGTCTCTAACTTTGACAATGTTAACGTATGTTTAGTGCCTACTATGCAAGAGATAAGAGATGCAATGTTTGACACTGACAAAAATAGAGGAGTTAGCCCGGATGGTTTTTTTTTTCATTTTTTTACCAGTAGTGTCGGGATATTTTAGCTGAATATCTTTTTCATGCGGTGGTGGATTTTTTTCAGGGTGCGGCATTTTTAAACGGAGTCACATCAACCACTCTTGTCTTATTGACTAAAAGCAGTAATGCATCACAATGGAGTGAATTTTGACCAATTGGTTTGTGTAACATTTTAAATAAAATCGTTACTACGGTGTTGGCTAATCGTCTAGCTAAACTCTTACCTATAATTATTTCCGACAATTAAATTGGCTTTGTGAGTGGCAGGCTTATTAGTGAAAATATCTTGTTGGCACGAGAATTGATTGGGAAAACTGATAAAAAAACAAGAGGTGGCAATGTATCTTTAAAGTCGGACATGATGAAAGCCTATGATTAGATACACTAGATTTTCTTCTATAGAATGATGCAACAATTAGGTTTTAGCCACCAGTGGATAGATATGATTCAGCCTTGCATTTTGAATTGTGGGTTCTCTTTATTGATTAATGGCAGACCAGTGGGCTATTTTAAGTCAGAATGAGGATTACGTTAGGGTGATTCCATCTTTCCTCAAGTATTTGTTTTGGCAATTGAATATTTGTCTAGAGGTTTAAATGCTCCATGTGACAGATTCTCCTCCATTCACTATATGCCTAGCTGTCCAATAACTGTAAACCACCTAGCATTTGTAGATTATGTCCTTATATTTACCAATGGTAGTAAACAAGCCCTGCAGAAAATTCTTTTAGTTTTGCAGAAGTATGAACAAGTCTCTGGCCAACGTGTTAACCATCAAAAGAGTTGTTTCATAACGCATTGGAATATAGCAAGCACTAGAAGGCAGATCATCTCCCAAGCTACAAGATTCACTCATAAGTGCCTCCCTATCACATGCTTGGGAGTTCCTCTCTACAAAGGTCACAAAAAGGTACTATTATTTGATCACCCTGTAACTAAGAGACGAAATCGAATCACAAGGTGGGAGAATAAGATTCATTCCCCAGATGGCCGGATAACTTTATTGAGGAGTGTATTATCTTCTTTACTTATGTATTTACTTCAACTTCTTAACCCTCCTGTCTGTGTCATTGAAAATTTTGAAAGATTATTTAATAATTTTTTGTGGGGAGGTTGAACAGATGCTAAACAGGTTCGCTGGGCTTCATGGCATAAGTTAACTTTCCCATCTTTTAAAGGTGGTTTAGATATTAGCGGCCTAGTGGATGTGTTTCACCTTTACTATTAAATTGTGGTGGCGCTTTCAGACTTGTAGCAGCTTATGGACGTAATTCATGAGAACAAAATGTTGCGTTGGTCGGATTCCCAGTTGTGTTTATCTAAAAATTCATAATTCATAGACTTGGAAATGAATGCTTACTAGGTGCCGGGTTACAGAAGAACATATGAAGTGGTGGATTGGCAGAGGAAAATTATTTTTTTGGCATGATTGCTGGATGGGCAATATGCCACTGGTAAACCTTTTCCCTACTTTTATTTCATAAATAACACAAGTTTGCTATTATTTTGATAATGGTGAATGAGATGTGGATAAATTGAAAAATGTGTTGCGAGATGAGGTTATTGTTGATATTCTAAAAATTCCTATTAACACATCTTGTGAAGATATTACCTATTGAGCACCCACTTTCAATGGTAATTACACCCTAAGAGCTCATGGGAATGAACTGGGCAACGACAAACAACAAATCCTTTGTTTAATTTTATTTTGCTCAAAAGTATTCCTCTCACAACTTCATTCTTTTTATGGTGGTTATTACATAATTGGATTCTTGTGGAGATGAGAATGAAAACAAAAAGATTTCAGCTAGCTTCTAAATGTAATTGCTATAATTCAGAGGAATCTCTTCTACATGTCCTGTGGGATGGTCCGATGGCTAAACAAGTTTAGAATTATTTTGCAATATTCTTTCAAATCTATGTTCTTAATTTACTAACTATTATTTAGATTATTAGGGCATGGGTATATTTTAGTGATTATACTAAGCAAGGACATATTCGCACCTTATTACCTTTATTCATTTGTTAGTTCTTATGGGTGGAACATAGTATGCAAAACATAAGAATCTTGGTATGTATCCTAATAGAGTAGTGTGGCGTATTTTGAAGCTTATACACCAATTGTTTCACGGGAGGCAATTGGAATAGTGGCAATGGAGAGGTGATACTCAAATAGCTCAAGTGTGGGGATTGGAATTCTAGAGAGGAAAGTCCTTACCACCCAAAATAATATCTTGGCATAAACCATTGATAGGTGAGTTTAAATTAAATGTTGATGGTAGTTCCAAAATTAATTTTTAGAATGCTGCAAGAGGTGGAATATTATGAGAACACATAGGTACTCTAATATTTAGTTTCTCAAAAATTTTTGGACCCAAAAATTCTGTGCATGCAGAACTATTAGCTTTATATAGAAGTCTTCGTTTATGCTAAGAGTATAATATTTCAAAGATCTGCATTGAGATAAATGCTATGGTGGTACTTCAAATGCTAAAGGAGGAATACGGTGGGTCACATGACAATCCATATTTATTGGCTTCTATCCGAAAATGCTTAACTCAATTCTCTTATAGAATCTCTCACATACACTGGGAAGGTAATCAAGCTCCGGAGTGTGTTAGCTAATTTTGGACATCAACATCAAAATCTATGAGTTTTCTCTAAAGCTCAAGGTAAGTTTCATGGAATTGTAAGATTAGATAAACTTAGCCTAGATCTAAATAAATGTAAAAGAGTAGTACTCTTTATTTTATTTTTATATGATTTTATCTTAGATTCTTGTACACATGTAAATTACTTATCTTATGCATTCGTTATAACTGCAAAGAAAGTAATAACCATAATAGCAATTCTTTCTTTTATTTCTCATGTAATTCTGGAGGTACGGTTTAGGTCTCCCTTCCTAATGTACCGTTTTATTTTTATTTTAATTATTAATAAAATATTAATAAGGTCGTTGAGCTTTGCGAAAATTTTCAACATAAAAAAAAAAAAGCACTCCAAAAAAGGGATTGAAAGCATTTTTGGAGCCAAAACAATTCTTGGAGTGTAAATTTGATCTTTTACCATCTCAATTTGAGGGTTTCATCCTTTCCACTGTAGCTTAATGAATATAATCTTTACACTTTTATTAAAATTCAATTTTAGGATAACTAATAATAATATTAAAATTTTCTGTACCAAAATTTCATCTTAGGACATTTTTGTTGATGATGAGACATGTTAGCTTTTGAATTTTTTTATCACATGGAACACATTAATACCAAAAAATTTATTTTAATAAGAAATACTAAGAATTAAATTTTAAAATTTTAAGAAAATATTAATTATTTATTTGAAATAAAATAAGATTTTTTAGAGAAAAAAATCCATCTTAACATAACAATTCATCCAAGTTAAATACAAAAATTTGATTTCATTATTAATTGTCTTAGATCAACTTTTAGTAAAGTGCAAAAAAATTACTTTAGGGTACAAAGATTAAAACCATCTATTTCAAATAACAAATAACAAAAGGACTAAATTGAACTTCTACACCACAACAGCCCAACACATTTGACCTCAGACAAATGCACTGTTCCCCGAACTGACCATTCTCGTGGAATCATCCTATTCGTCGTTATCTCTTAAATACAAAACTATAGTGGTAGTACTCGTAGAGAATCATACGCCCTATCCTATCCGTTCCTCCAAAAGCTGCATTCAGCGAAAAGTAGACATAGCTGTCGAGTTTTCATCCTCAAAATCTCCATTACAATGGCAGCGATGCTCTCACTCTCTCCAAACCCTCCAATCACAACTTCAATCTCTCTTCACTCGGCCTTCAGGGTACGCTTTCTTTGACTCTCTTTAATATATTAAGTACAGTATACTCACAATTACTGAATTGAAACTTCCTTCTTAATTGCAGGGAAATGTGAGGAATTTAGGACCAAACCCATGTCACATTATCCTTATCAGAACCAAGCGACAACAGCAACAGAAACAACAAGGGACAAGGTCTTTAGTTGTTGTGAGCCGAGCAGCAAAAATCCAAGTGGCAGTTACAGCGCCTACTGTTAGATTTCGGTTGGACAACCTGGGACCTCAGCCAGGGTCCAGAAAGAAAGGGAAGAGAAAGGGGAGAGGAATATCGGCTGGACAAGGTGGCAGCTGTGGGTTTGGAATGAGGGGTCAGAAATCACGTTCTGGTCCAGGTGTTAGAAAGGGGTTTGAGGGTGGGCAAATGCCGCTCTATAGGCGTATCCCCAAATTGAGAGGGATTGCAGGAGGTAATTTGCTTGCTTCCTTTCTTAATTTTGTATTTATTTATTTATTTATTTTTTAATTCTTATACACTTCAAGTGCTTTATGGGATTGTGATACTGGGTTAGAATTTTTCATTTAATGGGAGCATGTTTTATTTGAAGTGGATTTTGGATTTTGATTGTTTAAAGTGATAGCATTAACTTGGTGTTTCTTTGAACTTTGAACTCTGCAGTTTTTGAGAAATACTTTGCAAAATTGCTCTCTCAAGTAAGAACTTAAGCAAGCTTGTAGTTTTCAAGTTTCAGTTGTAGAAATAGTTGAATATTCAATCAAATGGCTGCCCAAGTCATGTACAAGTAACCTGAATGGAATGTTTTGGGTTTAAGCATTATCGTGATTTGCTGGTAGCAATATAAAGTTCGTGCTTTGTCAATAGTTTATGAGCTGTTTGGTCCAATTAGGACTACTGTAGGAAGTGTTGTTCAAGTAGAGTTGTTTCAAAAATGTTATAAAGACAAGCTATAGTGTTTGAGAAAATTAATGCGGAAGCACCATAAGATGTAGAAAACTGTTATTTGATAGTATTTTTCTTTTTTTAATAAATACAAGTTTAAAAGACTAAACAAAATTAAATCTTATGATTTTGTTTAATGAAGTTGAGTTTTTTTCTTTTTTGACATAATTGAGCTTATTAAAAAAAAATTGAAAGAGTCAACTTCATTAAACACAATTATAAGTTTTGAAGTAAAAGTTCTTTTATAAGTTGGGCCAAGCACCCACTGTGTAGCTGAGCTTTCAATGCCTTCTTCAGCAATATTTTAGCCTATGGCTCTCTAGTTAAATCTTGAAGAAGCTTCAAGCAACAACTTCTATTGCTTTTGATTATGGACTTCACTAATATTGCCTTAGTACCCAATTGACTTCATCATAGAAGTTTCCTACCTTCTACCTTATTAGATGCCCCTTGAGATTGTAGAGAGACAATAATGAGGATGGGAGACATACGATAGGTCAATTGAATGTAGAGATTAGAGTATCAGGGGATATTTAATCAGTCTTTTTCAGGAGATTTTGATAGTATATCGCTTAATCCTTTTTACTATGTCAGCCCCTAGTATTGTGTCAAATGTGGATTTTTGCGATGATGCAGGTGTTGAGATGTTTGAGTAAAGTAAACTAATTTTCTTCATCTAGTTAATGGTACGGGTAATATGCCTGTGGTAAGGAGAACATTTGTATATATAAGTGCGTGTGTGTGTGTGTGTAATGTGACTAACTTATTCTATTCTCATATGAAAGTTATAAGACAGCATTTCAATTGGTCAATTAATGGACATTCCATTGAGATATATGCTTTTAGGTCTTTATCTTTGCTCACTTCTCTCTATGTGGTTGCGTTGGTGATAAGAGGAATTTCTAGATAGTATATACAATTTGATATTAAAAGGTTAGATCTTCTAGCGTGGATTTGACAATTTTATTCTCAATGCAGAAAATAAAACCATCTGCAATGCTCTAGGCGAATCATAAAGATGAATCTATAATAAATTTTTTATATATTTTTATTTAAAATTGGTAGTTTTATTCCTCTATAAATCTTTAACAAGAAGTTGCGTGCACTGTCACTCAATTTGGTTAATTCAGTCAAATTTTACTGAGACAAAAATAATTAAATTTGAGAATTGTAATAAACCTAACTAGCTGAGTTGTTTATTTAACTGGTAACCAAATTACCAACATTCTTGGTTAGTTTAGTTAGGTGTCTTTGGTCATTGAAATATTGGTGATATAGAATCAAGGTTATATCAAGTTTTAGAATCAAGGTTATATCAAGTATTATCCTATCTTCTCCTAAATAGAGGATTTTGGGCCATTCAATTAAACAAAATGGCGCCACCGAAAGGGCTTGGCATGAGAACATATGACACTAACATGTTAATAGCAGCTTAAACCAAGTCTCAATGTTCATAAAGAAGTGTAGAATTCTAAGCAACCTTTAATTACTGCCTAGCCAATATGCTTTCAACTCTGACCACAAGATTTAAAGCCTAAAGTGGAAAGCTTCCAACAATCTTGAGTTTCATGCCGCCTCTTTCTCTAGGCTTTATTCAATCTCCTCTTCCACTAAATTTGGTTTTTCTTTTTCTATTAGTGCCTATTTGGTCTGTCCTTTTTTCAACTTATCTACCTCTTAAAAACACAAGTCAAGCCAAATAGGATTTTTAAGAAGCACTCAAGCAACTTTTTAAAAAAAAAAAAAACCAAAATTTTTGAAAAAAGAGTTTAAAAAAAGTTCCAAATAGGAGCTTTTTCTTCTCTTCTTTTAAAAACACTCCAGTTTTTCAAGAAATACCCCACTGTCTCAACCAACCTCACTTTCCTCTCCCTCTTTTTGCAACTTGCCATTCTCTAATGCAAATTGCTATCTCCCTCTCATTCTTTGTTCTTACAAAGATTAAGAGAAAAGAAGATTCAAAATTCAAAGCTTCATTCATATACTATTTAAAGGTTTTCTCTCTTCTTCACCAAAGGATTTTCATGTCCAATACATCGTTTTCACTTCTCTCTTCTTTATTCAAGAATTGAAGCATCATGGTCCGATTACTTGCTAAATCAACAAAAATCTAATACTATTACTATTAAATAAGTTTGAGAGTTGTTCCATTTTTTTATAAATTTGTTTGATTTTAACATCTGAATTCATATATAAATTCGAAGCGGATTTGTTCCCCTTTAATTTATTAAGTGATTGAAGATGATATGAGTACCCTTTATAGTAATTTTAACCAAAATTAGAACTCATACAATTTATTTTACAAAATAGCTTCCCAAACAGTTTTAGTTTAATTTTAAAAGTTATTGGTTTTTATAAGAGCTTCATAATAGCTTTTAAGTTAAAAAAAACTAGGTTAAAAAGGCTCCAAGTGTTGTTCACTGTTGTTATATTGAAAGTTTTAACACTTGAGTGCTCTTTTCCATAAAGTAGGAGTTTGAATTAGCTAAAAAGAGAAAAATGGGTACTTTGACTTGCTCCAGTTCTCTCATCAAAGTCAAGAGCTTCTATCTTTGATGGATCTTTTCTTCTCCAAAAGAAGGTCACCCCATTATTTCTGTAATTTGTTGTTTCTTTTCTTTATTTATTACAGATTTTTAAATATTTTTTATTTTGGATTTATATGGGTGTTGAAAGGCAAAATTCTTTAAGTTAACGGTTGCTGAGGCATCTCAGTAATAAATAAATAAGAAAATGTATATATACATAAAAGTGTAGTTTGGTTTTTTCAATCAGTTCAGTTATGATTTTCAAAAAAATTGACCAATGAAGGAACCCAGCATTTTAAAAAGATATTCCAAATATACCTAAAAGGCTGAAATGCTGAACCATTTTTACTGAATTTATCAACTCTTGAAGTATTTCACTTTTAACCACAGTTTGCTCACCCTTAGCAAGAAACCTTCCCATGGTACCATAATTATTTCATGTGATGAAGGAATAAATCAGAGGAAGATTTGATAAGGTCGAAATTCAGTTGCTGGAAATGCTCTTGAAGGACTTTGAAGGATTTTTCTTTCCTATGTTCTTGGCTTTGCCCTTTTTGCATTTTAATGAACTTATTTTGAAGCTTTCTTTCCATATCCATTATTATGGAGGTCTTGCTTACCTGATGATGAGTCTTAAGGTAACAAAAATATTTATTTGTATTTGTGTTGCAAAAGCCTCACCATCTTTTTATTTATTTTGGGATCAAATTGAATAAAATTTATCACAAAGGACAGGTAATGATGTGTCATTATTGCCTCAATTTCTCTTCTCAAGAATTTGTAGAACATAAGAGAACTTCATATACATAATGGAACTAAATATTGTGATAAATACTGAAGCCTTATTATGGTTAACAGTTTTACTGTCAAACATTGCTTTACTTTGATTATTCCTACCTAAGCTTGCACAGAAGAACCTATACTGACTGGAATTATTTGTAGTGTATTAGCTCAAGTATATTGATCAGACAAGAGAAGGATGAAATTTGTTTTAAATTAAATTAATCAAACTTTAATTTTATTAAGTTTTTATGTAAATGCAAGAATATTTACAAAATATTATTTTGAATCAAAAGTAAACAAGTGATAAAAAATAAAAGAGTTAAGAGGGAAGGATAAAGTTTTTGTCATTTCAAAACTATGATCAATTCTAGGCTAAGTAGAGATGAATGAGGTAGTTTAAAAGTTACCATTAGTGATGATATGATGTGCTGACAGGTAGATGGTAGAGTTTGAAGTGGTTGGGAATAAGATGATATTTTCAGAATACCCTATGATCCAAAATTTAAGTGGTCAAATCAGTTGATAAGCCTTTGTTCCATCTATAGCTGAAGACCTACTGCAATTGTGAAAATAGTGAAGATTATTGGAACTTCCTTTCTTTGTTCATAAAGACTATTGTGACTTGAAATGAATATTAAAGTTAAATTCTTTTCTATCTGCTTAAGTGTTTGGATAGTTGGTCCTTATCTACCTGTTTCATATTGGATGAAACCAAACCTTCTCATTAATTCTTTTTTTGGTGTCTTGTCCTTTGAGCCTTACATGAAATACTCTTTTATTCTTCCTCTGCTTGCACGTTTTTCTGCACTTGATTTTTTGTGCAAAGCCCTTTACATTCATTTGGCTTGCATGTGAATAGGCATTACACTTAAATATTAAAGTTGGTTTCTCTTTTCTTTTACTTAAACTTATGGGCTATCAACTATCTCCTTAACAAAGACTTGAATGTGTAAAATTTCCTCCTATTTGGGTGCCTTACCAGGATAAGCCTTGTCCATTGTATTAGTGCTGGCTTCTTGAATCTTTTTCACTAAGCTTATAAGATTAAGATTTTACTTTATGATATTATCTTTGTCCCTTGTTTGGAAAAACTTGTTTCCTTTTTTAGGTTTGAATTTGGTGCCTCTGTTCATCTTTATGTATATTTGCGATCAAAGTACCTAACAACTCCCACTACTGTAGAGAGATGTGTAAGTTAGTCCCCATACTATAATTTTGAGTAATTTAAGCCCTATACTTTTTACATTTGTTGACAATTGAGGACAATTGCTAAAGCCATTAAAGAAGACCGTTATCTATGCTGACACAGCAATGAGGTGGTACTAACATGGCACTGACATGTAAAACTTTTTTCTTGCAGATCAATGATGTGGCTTTTTTTCCTTATGTGGAAATATTTAAAAAATTAACAAAAATTAAAAAAAATTCAATGAAGTGGCACCATTAAAATGCCATGTGTCCTCCCCTCACAGGACCACCAAAAGGTTTTTTTGAAAAAATAAAAAAACATTTTGGCCAAGAAACTTGAAAAAAGTTTAAAGGTTTTTACAATTTTAGTTTTTATAATTGAGTAATTCTTTATCAAAATAATCTATTTTCTATTTGACCTTTTCTTCACTCTTTTCCCTTTTTCAGTCTGGTTCTTCTTCCTCCTTCTCTCTTCCCTTTTTCATCTCTATTTCTCTGGAAATTTGAAAACCACCTATCTTTCTTTAGTACTGCCACAACCACCGCCACCATCTCCTATCAACCGCCACAAAGAAGACACTTGAATCGCAAAATGCAATTTTCTTCAAAACAAGAGTGTCTAAAAAGCCCTACACCCAATCTTTTACTTTCTTTTACTTTCCCATTAACCAAACAAAACATCAATCTTCAAACCCTCTTCTCTCACACATACACGACTCCCATAGAAACCATGAAAACCATGATAGATCCAGCCGTGCAAGATCCTAATTGCTCTCTACGTTGAGGTTCGCTGGTGCTCCTACAACATATTCTCCACCCAAGAGTCTACATTTGATTATGGTCTAGTGGGCTAGTTTTGATTATGGATGATGATGGCTATGCACCTTTCTAGATGACAGTGAAGGAGATTCTGAGAAATTTTGGAATTTGATGTTAGAAAGGATTTGGAGAAGAGACTCAGTAAAGAAAAGTATTATTTCCAGTAAATAGGTGCCAAAGAAAAATTTTGAGCTTAAAACTAAAAGAAAAAAGAAAACAGAACTGATCTTTTTAAAAAAATTATTTATTTTTGAAAATTAGTTTCACATCAATGAAAAATATTTTGAAAAAATTCCATGTGTTTTAATTTTTCTTTTTGTGGAAAAATAAAGTAGTTGTAAAAAAAATTAAAATGCCGTGTGACTCAGAACTTTTCTTTTTGTTTTTATTTGATAAAAATTCCACATCACCTAAATAAACATTTTTATTTTCCATGTCATTGATTTGTTAGCAAAAAGTTACATGTCAGTGCCACCTCATTACTATGTCAGCGTAGATAACTGTCTTTATTTTACGGCATTTAGCAATTGTCGTCAAATGTTTTTAAATGCAAAAGTACAGGGTTTAAATTACTCAAAATTGGGGTATATGAACTAAATTACACTTTTCTCTAAAGTAGTGGGACCTACGGGTACTTTGACCATATATTTGCATACTGATTATCTCTTACTTACATTTTTTTTTCTTCTCATTTTTCTTTGCAAGGTATGCATGCGGGATTACCTAAATACATCCCTGTTAACTTAAAAGACATAGAAACAGCAGGATTTCTAGAGGGAGATGAGGTGTCGTTGGAGACTTTGAAGAAGAAGGGTTTGATCAACCCATCAGGAAGAGAAAGAAAACTCCCTTTAAAGGTACATGTGATCTTTGATTTATGTTGCGGCAACTGTAGGGTTGAGATTTAGCCTTTTAAGTCCATGTGTAAGTTTGATGGCCCTAAAAGAGCGTGTTTCTCTTGACCAATTTGTTGAATAGAATGTTCTGTTATCTTATGCATGAAGCATTAATACTGACAAAAATTGATTCTAGCTTCTTCTATTAAGTGGAAATAACAATGCAATCACAATAAGCTCTGTCAAAAGAAGTGCATCCTTTGATTTTGGAGTTCAGTGTCGAACAATTTAAGAGGTGGGCAGACTAGGTGCATGATGTTCACTCCAGCTACTAATTTGCCTATATTGCATATTCTAATTTGACACTTGCTTTTTAATTTCCTTTGCAAAATATATTTCCAAGACTCATGAAAAATGCTTGCTTTATTATGGAGATTGCTTCACATTGTATTCTGTCTTATTCGGAATGTGAGGATATTAAAATGCAGAACAGCATTCATCTCTTAGCAACTGGTTCTTCAATTTCCATACAAATCCTTTTTTTTTTTTTGCCTGCAATGAAGCAACTAAAATGTTCTCGTTGAAGATTCGGCTGACCAGAGTCCTATTTATCATGTTCAATTTGGAAACTCTAAATCCAATTGTGGTTTCACTTGCTCGTGGTATCTATTGTTCCAAATTGAGTTTGAAATCCAGTAGAATTTGTTATGTCATGTGTGTTTCTTTTGATTGATTTCTTGAACATTCTTTGCATTACCGTATAAATGCCGACGATGCTTAGACACAAAAGCATTTCATGTTGGCTTTTATTTCTGGAAGATTGCATCTTGCAAAATCAGCAAATCAACGGTTCATTACGGTAACAGGATTTGCATCTTTTCTTATTCTGATTCTCTGATTATCTTTTTCTTAGGAAAAGTGAAATGAAGTGGACCACGTTAGGTCAAAATGTTCTTCCCAATTTAAGACTGAAAGAATCCTAATTGCAAAATTTACTCTTATTAATTCATGGGGATGGGTTTTTTGAACATGTGGCATAATGTTGTTTTGAAAATAAGTATTCATCGTTATTGATTATTTTGTTGATTTAGATTCTTGGTGATGGGGAGCTGAATGTAAAGCTGAACTTCAAGGCCCGTGCCTTTTCAGCATCAGCAAAGGAAAAGCTTGAGGCTTCCGGCTGCTCTCTCACTGTATTGCCTGGTCGAAAGAAGTGGGTTAAGCCATCAGTTGCAAAGAACCTTGCACGAGCTGATGAATACTTTGCCAAGAAGAGGGCTCCAGCAGCTGAGTCAAACTCTGCGTGAAGGGCATACAATTGCTCTGCTTGATTTGATAAAATGTTGAGAGCAGTGAAGAAAATTGCTGTGTAAATTTGTATTCATCATTTTTCTGTGCATTTAGATTCTTTTTGGGAGCCACGGAGGGCTAATGTTACTGTAATTCCTTGGATTCATTCAATATTTTTTGTCTGGTTTCCATCTTCCTAGAATTCAATCAGACAATTCGCTCTCACTTTCTCTTAGTTATACTTTTGTGATAGAATGGATGCTTCTCAAAACTCAAATATGATTTGCTGGGGGAGACTTTTTACTCATTTCATTCACCAAAAGGAAAGAATCTTTCTCATGGTGGCGGCAGACATAAATCAATAATGCGAATGTGCTCTTCGCTCACCTTGTGGAGCTATCCGAATTGATGCACTAAGAACCCACCAACAGTGGGGGCTGAAAATTCTCACTAGATAGAGAAACAAAGCAAGCCCTGGGGCCTTTGTCCAACAGTCTCTCGCTCATTGGTGGCCTTTGCAACCGAAATGAGCGTGGTCCAGATTGTTGGTATGCGCAAAGAGGAATCCCAAATAGAATTTCAATGTTTAAAAAGAAAAATAAAGAATGGATCAGCTTGAATTCTTGTCACATCACCAACGGCCCCTTTCACTCCTGTCATTGATTCCCACGAAATTGCATTTGCTCTTCTACTTCTCATCGTTGCTTCCATCTGTAGGCAAATCTGACGCCACTGCGCTATATCAGTAAGGCGTCACACCAAAAGACTGTGCGGTAAGAAAAAGGGTGGGGTGGGGAATCAGACACATGGGATTTTCTTCTGATTAGTGTATGATGGTTTGGGTTCTTCTTTATCTTGACAAAAAACCCAACAGATGAAGCTTTTTAGGAAGGATTTAGCTACCAACTGCTGTTCGGACAAAAGAAGAGTGGGACCCAATCTAACACTTTGCTTTTCCACAAGGTTTCCAACGCCCAACTCCTTTAAGTAGAAAAAAGTCAAGACAATGGAAACCTTGGTTATTTATCTTGTAACCTCATGCATTGCTCTTTTGAAAAGTAGTAGTTGCGTGGATTCGGTTCACGGTGATGGCGAAATGTTGTTTGCTTGGACGGCTACTCAACTGGGAGTGGTAAGTATTGAGAGAGCGACACAACTACTGCTTTGCTTGTTTAGCTGAGGACCACTCTTCTTGCTTCCTAGTTCCACCCTTTATTATTCGCTGATAGTGTACATTAAATATAAACTTTTATCTTAAACCTCTATTAAGATTTTATATTTAATGTATTATCAGTTTATATAATTTATGCATCACCAATGAATGAGAGACTACCATCTTACTAATAAATAAATTTAAAAATTATAGAAACCTTTGGATCTCCTTCTTTAATCATACCAAACATAACCATTATTGACTACATCCCGAAATCTCATTCTATCTCCTTTTTCTTCTTCTATTTTGAAGCCAAGGACTTTTTATCTTTTGTTGGAAAATCCCCTTCTTTAGTCTTGGAAAATCAGTCAAATTGAGTGAGCCAGCCAAATAAGCACAAGAAGTTTTCTCGTCTATATTATTCTTTGTCGCATAATTTAAGCCCATGGTAACTCAATTCCAAATGCTTCTTTCGGAAAAGCCTACGGCGTCAGTTTACTAAGATCCAAAAAATTCAGCCTCTTTTCCTTAGCTTTAGCATTGATGTTTTTTCATAATTTGTATAGAAAATCATTTTCTCGTTAAATTCAAACTTTTGATTTTAATGAGAAAAGATGAGTTAATTAGATGTATGTTTCTTCAATGATTTTCTCTTAAAAGGCAGGGACTTAGTTTTTTTATCTGTGTTTATCCTGGTTTTGGATGTTGCATGTGGAAGAATATGTGTTTGTTGTTGGAGAAAATTCATCCTATTTGAATATAGCTCATGCATGATAAGTCAATTGCTCAATAAAAACCAAATTTATTGAATTCAACACATTATTACAAAGTTTGTGATCTCATAAATTGAAAGGGGAACAACATAAAATAGCTCAGTGCAACTCATCAGAACCTGCAATCAAAAAACTTGCACCCAAACAATACCCAAAAGTTAATTTTCTTCTGTGTAAGTGTACATAAAGTAACCTTCCCTATTATTGTTATAATTTTTAATGTGTCAATTTCATTGAAGGTCTACCACTTATCTCACAATCTTGAATCCTGTTTACAATCTTAAGATAATGCCACCGAAGTATCAAATTCAATTATGAGATTTTTTCTACCCAACCAAGAGGAGAGTCAAAAGAAATGAAGAGCCTTTTTGATTGCCAATTCAACATAACTCAAATCTTGTCTGTCAAGAGGATCGAAAAAGATACCATCTATTGAACTTGTGTCTCTCAAAACTCCCCAACAACCAGCGGGGTCTAGTTTACCTCTTGTCAAGCCATTGATATTAAATTTCAATTCATCTTCTTTTGGATAAATACAAGAAATTCCTTTTCAAGATTCAACCTTATTACAAGCATAAAGCAAGGACCGATTGATTTGACCACCATCCCAACTTATCAATTGCATTATTCCTCTCAGTAGCTTTGATCCAAAGCATATATCTCATCTTGATCTAGAAAATCATATCTTGTTTATCCCACCTTTTTCCATTGGAAATTTCCTAATTCCTTGTAAACCACAGAGACTAAAAGGTAGCACCACACATTGCTAGCCATTTCTTTTTAAAAGCGTCACAAAACAATTCATTTTGACAGAGCAAAATTTTCTAGGAGAAAATTGTGAGAAAAGGTCCTTCGTATAAGGTGATTTCAAAAATAATGCTTTACATAAACTTATCTGTTTTTAGCCATTGAGAAGCATGAGTAGACCAAAATACCTTTAAAAACATAATGGGAAAAAGTTCCCAATATCCCCTTCCTGCCAAAGAGAAAATAGAAATAAAAGCTTAGCTGTTTGAGGTCGCTTATCTTTCTCTCTTAGCTCAGTGAACTATATCAACTCTATTAACTCTCTGTTAAGTACCATTGTCATCAGGTCGCTCAACTCTCTGAACTATATGAGCTCTGTCAACTCTCTATTGAGCACCATCGTCATCGTGATGTAGTCTATCTCTCGGCATTTGGCCATATTGTCGTCGATAAACAGACCCTATAGCAGAAATGACATCAAGGTATGTTATTGGGTTTATTGCTACAACAGATAAATTTTTGAAACTTGTGTAAATTAGAACATGGATTTCAAACACTGCCAAATTTGTTACACGCCATGCATCCATAAAGCAGATGGCGTGTAACATTTTTTAGCATGGCGTGTAACATAGTTGAAAACTGACGTGTAACAACATGACATGTAATGCATAAAATGATTGACAAATTTGATGTTTTCAAAACTACAGTGGGGTTCCAATTGTGTGACTTGTGATAAGACATGGTGGTCAGTGGGTGGATGGCATTTACAAGGGTGGTGACTCACGAATGCGGGGGGTCAGGAGTGATTTGTCGTTTGAGGGCTTGAAGAAGCTAGTTGAAGAAGTTGTTGGGGTAAACTCAGAAATGGACG